CTGAACCCATAACCTTTTGGTGTATGGGATGACACTTCAATCAACTGAGCCACCCGGCCAGGGAGGGACTCAGCTCCCTTAGGTCTGTTGGGTTTACCACTATTTCTTCCATTTATTTTCCTGCTTCAAAATTTGGTTGAGTTGCGTTTTTCTTATTCTTTCCAATATTGTAGTCTCCTTCCTTTCATCGTTTTCTTTCTAAACTTTTTTTTATAGTTTTAGAAGTGTTTCAAGAAGGGGAGAAATTAAATTTTTAAAAATGTTTTTATTGATTTTTTTAGAGAGAGAAACATCCAAGTGAGAGAAACATCGGTGGGCTACCTTCTGCATGCCCTCTACTGGGGATTGAGCCCAAAACCTGGGCATGTGCCCTGACTGTGCATTGAACTAGGAATCGAACAGGGACCTCTCAGTCCATGGGATGATGCTCAATCCACTGAGCCACACTGACCAGGCTAAATGTTTTTATTCAATCTGCCACCTTTTACCTAGAAGTTCCTATTACTGTGTTCATGAGCAGATTTTGATATTAAAATTTTTATTCTGGCCCTGGCCGGTTTGGCTCAGCGGTTAGAGCGTCGGCCTGTGGTCCGGAGAGGCCTGGGTTCGGTTCCCGCTAAGGGCATGTACCTCGGTTGCAGTTTGTCCCCGGCCTTGGTTGGTCGTGCGGGTGGCAGCCACTCGATGTGTCCCTTTCACGTCGATGTTTCTCTCTCTCTCTCTCTTCCTCTCTCTCCCTCCCACTCTATCTGTACAAAAAATGGAAAAATGTCCTCAGGTGAGGATGAAAAAAAAAAAAAAAAATTTTTTTATTCTGTATTTATGTATCCTTTAGTTTGTAGTTAGAGGTTTTAGTGATAATTTTAGTGGGAAACTCAATAGGAAGGACAGGAAGATGAAGTATGTAGTGCAGATAGGCTAGAAGAATAAGGGGTGGTTCAGAGGCAGAAGAGAATTGACAGTGAACAAGGTCAATGATGACAGTAGAAACATTTAAAGGTAGCTTGGAACTCTAAGGCATGAGGCATAAATATAGCTCCAGTAGCATTTATCTTCTTGGACTCCACTATTTTTAGTTCTTTTTACTTTTCATGATCTAGGAGCCTCTTGTTCCATATCTCAGAACCCACAAAACAACTAATACAGTTTTTAAAAACTTACTGTTTGCAAACACAGTATACATAGGGTCTCTAAGGAAAACATACAGTATTAAGTAAATAGACAGTACACCCTCAATATACTGTAGCAAAAGGTTCCATTTCAATATTTGAACTGGGCTTGCTGTTCTGGGGTTCTGAAACAGAATTTTGCCTCTCCTGTGATTCTCTTTGCTGGTAGTTGCTGCCCTCTCTTGGACTAATTGAGGAAATGCAGCTTTTATCCTGCATGAATCTTTTTTTTTCTGTCCTTAACTCAAATTGAGCACTAAACCATGGATAATTTTTTAAAAGAATTAAATATGTTTTTAATGATGCACCAAGGGAAATTAGTGTCTCCTTTCTTATGAAAATATATTTTCTTTTGTATCAAAACGCAAGAGTTAGTGGGCATTAAATGGGAACAAGTTTGAAGAATTTGGAAAATGCAACGATTTGGGGCTTTGGAATCTGGAGATTGGAGTTCCTACCCAGCTTGCTCTTAATCATGTAACCTCGATGATTTACTCCATCTGTCTGAGCTTGTTTCTTTACTGATACAATGAAGAGGAGGAATAGATTTGAGGATTCTCCAGGGATTGTTATTTCAGGAAAGGAGCCCCAGATTATGGTATTTGTTCATAGAAGACATAATGACTAAGTCTCAAGCTCTGCCTAAGGAATTGAGCTTGGAAAGGGATAGAGGAGGCAGATAATCAAAAGACAGTTGTAATCCTCTACTAGTGCTGTGTAGTAGGCAAGTACCTATTACTATGGAAACACAAGGAGTGGTACCTGTCCAATTAGCGGAGGTGTCATCCTATAGGGAATCTTGGAGTTAGCTTTGAAAGCACAACCTAGGCTGAGGAAAGCAGTAGCCTGGGGAAAGTTGGGTGGTGAGACAGCATGACCTGTTTGGAACCTGCAGCTAGTTCAAGGTGCCAAGAAGAGTTTGAAGTGGAAGGTTTGTTGAGAGATGCGTTGAGGGAAAAAAGCCAAAAATATTATATGCCATGCTAAAGAATTTGAATTTTGACCTGAGGACAGTGGGGAGCTATCGAATGGTTTTAAATGGGGACTTAATATGGACAGGTTGGCATTTCAGAAAGATTACTCTTGGATATATAGTATGGAGAATGGATTTGGTGTGGTACAGATGGGAATGAAGGCAGAGAGATTAGTTAGGAGGCTGTTGGCAATAAATGAAGCGGGATATAATAAGGGTGTGAACTTGGGTAGTAATTATGGGGATGGATGGGAGAGAAATAAGAGTCTATAGGCAGAAAGAACAGATTGCTGGTTTCCCTGCAGCTGGGTACAGTCCAGCTAGCACTGATTCATTAGGTCCAGGTTCTGTTATGTCTATCCAATAGTTGTTTAGGTTTTGCTTGGTTCTGAGGGAACATTTTTAAAAAATATGTTTTTACTGATTTTATAGAGAGAGGGGGGAGGGAGAGAGAGATAGAAATATCGATGTGAGAGAGAAACATCCTTTGGCTGCCTCCTGCATGCCCCCTTCTGGGGATCGAGCCCACAACCTGGGCATGTGCCCTGACCTGGAATTGAACCAGGACCTCTCAGTCCATGGGACGACGCTCAATCCACTGAACCACACTGGCCGGTCTCTGAGGAAACATTTTTTGTGTTTGGTGGGCAAAGTGCTGGAAGCAATTGCTCTAGGAGCAAATAAGTTTGACTTTGGCAATGGCAACCTAAACTGACACACTCAACTCATCCTTTTTGTGGCTTGTGTCACTTCTGTGTGCCAGGTCACTTAGGGTGGTGATAAAAGGAACTGTTAGTCTCCTTGGGTGTTGCTGTCTTTCCCTCATCATCCTTTTGTCTTCACACCCCAGTAAGCAGTACATGTCAGGTAACTTTAAATTCCACTGATGCTGAGCAAGGTTCTTATGGTTTCAAATGATTAGCACTCAGTCAGTTTAAGCTTGACCTCTCGACCATGGAAGGCAAAGTTAAGATTCACAGTTTAACTGGATTTAACTGAGCTTGATATGGGGAAACGTGACCATAATGATACAGATTTTCCTTGTCTTTAAAAAGGTTAGTAAAATAGCTCTGTGGCAGGGTCAGAAGTTGAAGAAAGTCAATAAGTATTCACTATACTCTTCTAAGGACATTAGCAAAAGAATATGGCTTACAAATTAAATATTAGGGTGAAGAATTCCTGCTTTCCCACACCTGCTCACTCAGACTTTTTTTTTCTTAGTAAAGTATAGCATGTTTACAGAAGAGAACATAAAACATATATAAAATAATTATAAGTCGAACACCCATGTAACCGTCATCCATGTCAAGAAATAGATTATTATAAGTACCTCAGAAACCCCCTTTTGCAGTCACAACTTTCACCAGCTCTAAGTAACCGCTTTTTTGACATTTGTGGTAATCATTTCTTTTATGATTTTATATCCTAAATAATATAATTTAGTTTTACATGTTTGTTTTTTTTTAAACATGTTTTTATTAATTTTTTTACAGGGAGGGGAAAGGAGAGAGAGAGAGAGAAACATCGATGTGAGAGAAAAACATTGATTGGCAGCCTCCTGCACGGCCCCTACTGGAGATTGAGCCCACAACCCGGGTATATGCCCTGACCGGGAATCCAACTGGGACCTCTCAGTCCATGGGGTGATGCTCAGTCCACTGAGCCACACCGACCAGGCTAGTTTTACATGTTTTTAAACTCAATATAAATTAAGTAATACATTCATTTTTATGTTTGTGAGTAACTGTAAGTTCAGTCACTTTTTTAAATTGATTTTTAGAGAGAGGAAGGGAGAGAGAGACATCAATAGAGGGAACATTGATCGGCTGCCAGGGATCTAGCCCACAACCCAGGCATGCACCCTGACTGGGAATCAAACCAGCAACCTTTCAGTGCACAGGACGATGCTCCAGTAATTGAACCACATCAGCCAGGGCTATCCATTCTACTCTTGATGGCTATTTAGATGGTTCTGTATTTTATTTTTTTATTTTTACTTTTTTTATCCTCACCCGAGGATATTTTTCCATTTTTTGTACAGATAGAGTGGGAGGGAGAGAGAGGAAGGGAGAGAGAGTGAGAAACATTGACGTGAAGGGACACATCGAGTGGCTGCCACCCGCACGACCATCCAGGGCCGGGGACAAACTGCAACCGAAGTACGTGCCCTTAGTGGGAACCGAACCCGGGTCTCTCCGGACCGCAGGCCGACGCTCTAACCGCTGAGCCAAACCGGCCAGGGCTGGTTCTGTGTTTTAGATAGTATAGTGTTACCGTGAAAATTTTTATTCTACATATCCTGCTACATATGTGCACGTTTCTACAGAGTAGGTATATAATATAAAAAATCAATTTGTTGAGGTGTAGTATATTATTTTTACTAGATAATGCCCATACTGTTTTCCAAAGTAGCCATAGCAGTTTACATTACCACCAGCAATGTGTGAGAACTTCTGCTGCTCTGTGACTAGATAGACATGAAAATTTTTGCCAATCTTAGCAAATGTGAAACAATCTCATTATGGTTTTAGTTGGCATTTCCTTGTTTACCAGTAAAGTTGAGCACCATTCATAGGTTTATTGTCATTGGATTCAGAGTTCTTTCAGATCTCCATCTCTTTTTATTTTCCTTTAAAGAACCATATGTTAGTGACCTTAAAATTATTCTTGCCCCTTACTTAAGGGAATGTGCTAAGGAACAGTTGGGCAGAATCTTTTAGCTTTGTGGGAAGTAACTTCGATTTTTTCAATTCATTTTTTCTTCTTTTTGTCCCCAACTCATCTGGTGTTTGGGAGATTTCCTGGTATTTCATTGATCTCTCTACTCTTTCTTTTCCCTTCTTTTTCCCATTTCCTAGACTCTGAAGCGGCTTATGGCAGATGAGGTAAGGACATATTTTTCAGCATGTGCATGTTCTAGCTCATTTTCTACACTATGATATTTACCAGTTACTATAACTTTGATTTTCTATAACTTGTAATGTTGGTATAAATTCTGTTCTCAGAGCATCCCTAAGCTTTTTCTTAACTCTTTGTTTTGTGTTTGGCTCATTGCATGCATTTCCCTGGCACTCATTAACTTCCAATGTTACCACTTTCTTTAAACTCCAAGCTGACTTGCAGTCTGGATGCTACTCATATCACTTAAAAACTCCATAATGCTTGCAGATACTTACTATTATTTTCAAACCAGTAGAGCTGATAAGCTGCAGCTTATCAGTGGCTCTTTTTTATTTGAACATTTCTACTTGAGATTTGAGGGGTGGTTCATGAGCGTTTTGTTGGCAGAGAGATGTACATATACCACTGAAGTACATTGTATTCTTTGCAAAAGGAATTTTGAGGAATATGTTGAGCTTTTGCTGCCTACATAATGCAAGGCATTTACTCATTTATTTTCTATGACTTATATCTATTGAAATCTATGGTCATTTACCTCTTGAAGGGAGGAATCATCTGAGGGCCTGGCCAGATTTATTAGATTTCTTGTTGGATAGCTAGAGGGAAACAAAGGGCATTTTTTGGAGATAGCTCAGTGCTTGGGATACTTTCAGTTCTGTGCTGCTAGAAATGGCAGGGGAGCTCAAGAACAAAGTTTTCTCTTTTTAGAAGTTCCAAATCTTAATACTCTAGTTCTTTTATTTTTGGATAAAGGTGAGAATACAGAGTCAGTATATTAATTAGATATGAAGAAGACTGGTTTCTTATTTTCATGTCAGAGGAGTCTTGGACTGCCCACAACCCAGAGGAATCATTCACGTATAAGTGGTTAGAGGGTTGGCTGTTTGATGTGTGGTTTGTTGTGTATATAAAAATAGATTGCTAATATTTTTTTCTCTTTCTCAGCTGGAGAGATTTACTAGCATGAGAATTAAGAAGGAGAAGGAAAAGTCCAATTCTTCTCATAGAATTTCTTCATCATATGGGGATGATCCCACAGCACAGTCATTACAAGATATTTCAGATGAGCAAGTGTTAGTACTTTTTGAACAGATGCTGGTAAGTTTCCCACCCAAAATGTTTCTTTTTGATAATGCATTTGGGCACAGTGGGCCCTTTTATGTGTATAGTCCTTTTAACTAGCCCTTAATTACAAAGAATTTCAGGCTGAAAAGGGAACTCCTTTTTTTTTTTTTTAATCCTCACCCGAGGATATTTTTCCATTTATCTTCAGATAGAGTGGGAGAGAGAAAGAGAGAGAGAAACCTTGGTGTGAGAGAGATGTATCGATTGGTTGCCTCCTAAACAACCTCAACCAGGCTGGGGACTGAACCAAAACTGAGGTATGTGCCCTTGACTGGAATCGAACCCGCGACTCTGGTCCATGGGCCAGTGCTCTAACTGCTGAGCCAAACCAGCCAGGGCCTAAGAGGGAACTTATGAGTAGCAGTCCGATTAACAAAGGGGCTAAATAAATATATAAGCACCAGTACGTAAGATTGAAATCTATTAGTTAGGCTTAGAAATGTCTGATCACTGACCACCTTAATAATGTCCTTCTGCATAGCAGTGCTTTAGCCATAAAGACATAGGGTGAGTGAATCAACTCATGTGGTAATGTAGCGACTTGGGGTTAGCCAGAGTAGATAAAGTGTTGGAACATTCACAGTGAACTCTGCACAAAGAAGAAACTGAGGAATGAAAAGGCATCATTTGCTCAAGGTCTTCTATTTAGTGGTGAATCTGGAAAGATAATTCTGATGCTATATCACTAGAAGACCTTTAAAGAAGATAATGGCTGAAGTCATTATATACATGGATGTGGCTTACTTTGCTGTTCTTAGTGAGTAACACTGAGTCGGGAGGACACTCAGTTAATGTCCATTAGTGATAAGTCTTGGAAAGTTTTGAGTACAGGCTTTTGAGGTTTTATAAGACCTGGATGTTACCTGGATATATGGTCTCAGATTCAAATAGAGACTACTAGAGGCCTAACTAATTAAAAGCACAGGCTTAAAATCCTTAAGACAGAACCTGGTACGTAGTAAACACTCAGCCAGTACTACTGTTATTATTTTTCACTGAAGTTCTTTTAGTTTGTCTCTCAGCAATCCAAGTGCAAGAGTTTAAGAGTGTGATCTATCAAGACAATCTCTTGACCTTGGATTACAAATTTAGATGTCTTTAGGGCCAAGGAGGTAGCATAAATAAGTTAAATAGGCTAGATAGAAGATGATAAAAATGAGGACTGTGGTAAAATGAAGAGAGACTTGAGACATTTTTGTTAGTTCCAGTAGCTTTTGTAGCACTCCACTTGGGAATACTAGCTCAGTAGTGCCAGATATTCTATTTTTCAAAAGAAGCCAGAAATCTGAAATTAAAAAATAAAGCCACAATAATTCTTTAATAGCATCAGCTATCATAACCAACATTAAGATTTCCCCAATTAGGTCATTTAAAAAATAATGTTTTTGTTCAAATCACAATTCTATATAAGATCCATTACCTAATAATAGTCCCTTAAGTTTAATTTAATCTATAGGTTTTCCTATGGAAACAGTTTGACTTGTAGAGTTTCCCACAATCTGAAATTTGATGATTACATCCCTTGATGCTAGAAATTCACATTTTTATTTGAAGTTTCCCAAATTTAAAATGTTGAGCTAGCCCTGGCCAGTTTGGCTCAGCAGTTAGAGTGTCGGCCTGCGGTCCCGAGAGACCCGGGTTCGGTTCCCGCTAAGGGCATGTACCTCGGTTGCGGTTTGTCCCCGGCCCTGGTTGGGTTGTGTGGTGGCAGCTACTCGATGTGTCCCTTTCACGTCGATGTTTCTCTCACTCTTCCACTCTATCTGAACAAAAACATGGAAAATGTCCTTGGATGAGGATTAAAAAAAAAAAAAAAAAAAGTTGACCTAGCCAAGCAAAACATACTTTATCTTTGAGTCTGATTCAACCTGAGGGCCATTAGTTTGCAACTTCTGTGTTCAGTTCACCTGTAAAATGAGGCAAAAAGCACTAGGCATTGTCAGAAAACATCAAATTAATATTGCTGTTTCGGAGTAGTGGTTTCTACACACACACACACCATACCACACCATGAAGAAATAGATTATATCCATTTTCCCCCTATGTTTTCCTCATTCAAATAATATTCTGGACTTTTTAGGGTTAAACTTATGTTCACCGAGGTCCTGGGCTCAGACACATGGTTATACATGTCATAGGATCAAGTCGAGCCTTTCCCCCAATAACATACTCCAGGTTATGTCTGCTGAGGGGCTTTTTCACAGTTTCCAGTTTTTTCTTCATGGGAAAGGAGTTTGTACAGGGACTGGGCGAAGTGGGAAGAAGGAGTGTTTAGGCCCTAGAGTGCTGCAAATTTTGCTGATGTCAATTTTTCTGGTTTTGGATGATGTCAGTCATTCAATACTTCAGTCTGAAGAGATCATTAAGGTCCATCCTAAGTGCAAAAAACGTGTGTGCCTTTTTTCAGTAGTACAAAATAAAATTTTCATCTATATTAAGAGCCCATTTTTGTTAGGAAAAAAGTTAAGTGTATATGTATATAAATGTCTACAAGGAGTTATACTAAAATATAACCATTTGTCCCTGAGGAATTTTCATCATCTGTAATGACTTAAATCTCTAGGTATTGGGAAACTTTATTTATTCCATAAGCATTTAATATGTTCAACTCTTCACTAAGTATACAAAATATTAAACACTGAAAGCTTGTAAGGAATTCAAGGCTATTTTGTTTTTTCCCTCTCTTTACTAGCTGGATATGAACCTGAATGAGGAAAAACAGCAACCTTTGAGGGAGAAGGACATTATTATCAAGAGGGAGATGGTGTCTCAATACTTGCACACTTCCAAGGCTGTGAGTTCTGGGGCAGGTACCCGTGACATGGGAGACTTGCCCTAACGTTGGACCTATTTGTTTTGCAAAATTCTGAGAACGTTTTGTGTCTATATCGGTTTTGCTTCATTCTATTATATAAGCCTACTTATTTTATACTTGCACTTAAGTTATCATTTCTACATACTTTTTGTCTGATTCAATTTTTATGAAGTGTAGATGGGAAATGGGATGGGAAATTCTGAGTCTCATGTAGTTTGGTGGTATATGTGATGGGTATCTGCCTTGATAGTATTTAAATTATATTGACTAATACTAGTCCAACTTATGCCTGGATCCAGGGTTTACTGATCTTTCTATATGCTTCTGTCTAGGGCATGAGCCAAAAGGAGAGCTCTCGATCTGCCATGGTGTACATTCAGGAGTTGAAGTCAGGCTTGCGGGACATGTCTCTGCTCAGCTGCCTGGAGTCCCTTCGTGTCTCCCTCAACAATAACCCTGTCAGGTGAGGAATCTGAGGTGGTATCAGGAGTAAGAGCCCAGAGTTAGAGTTTACTGGTGGGGATTGAAGATCAAAGGAGTCGGGGAAGTATGAGAATGTTCTGGGTAGGGAATAAGGAGCTACCAGGATAAACTTTGTGTGCAGATGGATTTATTGATTTGATTTAATATTGTATTGTCTCTGTCTGTTTCTTACAGCTGGGTGCAAACATTTGGTGCTGAGGGCCTGGCCTCTTTGTTGGACATCCTTAAACGACTCCATGATGAGAAAGAGGAGACTTCTGGGTAAGGACTTCCAAGTTTTGACATCTTCTAGGTGGAGGGTAGTAGGGGACTTGGCTATTTGCTTTAAAGGAGAAAATAGCAGCTAAATGTAAAATTATGGACTAGGGGAATATATTGTTAGCTGAGATTGGGGTTTATCGTAGGAGTGACTAGAGGATGAATAATGATTATAAATAAATAAAGGGAGGAGGAACTTATATTTCATGGTGAATAACACAGGATATATTCCACACAAATAATGAGCCTCTCAACATAGGTTCTTTTTTTTTTTTTAAGAAAGAGAGGAAGGGAGAGAGAGATAGAAACATTGATGTGAGAGAGATACATCAATCAGTTGCCTCTTGCATGCCCCCCACCAGGGATCGAGTCCACAGACCAGGCATGTGCCCTGACCAGGAATCAAACCAGGACCTCTCAGTCCATGGGAGGATGCTCAGTGCACTGAGCCACACTGGCCAGGCTCAGCATAGGTTCTTATCTAGTCTGTAAATACAGTCCGATTAAGTCCAGAGCTCCCCTGTGATCTGATCTGGGTTGTATTTCATTTGGAAGTCTTGAAATACACTTCTTCAGTTTGGAACTAGCTTTATGACAGTCTTCAGGATTAGAATAATTCTAGGGATACCTTGGACTGTGTTAGCTTATCTTGAAGCCAGCCTAACCCAAACTAACTTTTTTACTTCCTGGAATCTTTCCAAAACAAAATACAGGGCCTATATCTCCTGAATACAGACTTCAAACCTTTGAAGTAGTTAGGCAAGCAGTAATAGATGGAATGTTATCCTTATAGAATTTAGCATGTAGGAGCCTAGAGGGAATTAATGGGAAGATTGTAATGGAATACTAAATCTTGGATTTTGAGAGGATTAACCAAAGGTCTTTGATGGTGGGGATCCCTCTTTAGCTACCTGTTTTTGCCAGTGTTTCAGGGCAAAGTGCTATCGGCTAGAATTTACTCACCTACTAGTGGGGATGTTCCTGAGATCCTTGTTTGCAAGGTTGAAAAGTCAAATGGGAGAGGGGTATAGAATAAAGGGACTTCAGTGATTATGTCTTCTATATGCAGGAGCTACGATAGCCGTAATAAACATGAGATCATTCGCTGCTTGAAAGCTTTTATGAACAACAAGGTGAGATGTTTCCCATTTTCATTCTAACCCCCATGATGACCCCTGTTCTTTCTCTTCTATTGGCAAACTCCAAAAAGGACCTAGGAATATGAGGTTCAAGATTTCTAGATTTCTCTTTTAGTATTATAACCTTTTTTTCTTTCTCTTTTTGTTAATCCTTTTCCAAGGATATTTTCCATTGATTTTTTTTTTTTGGTCCTCATCCAAGGACATTTTTCCATTTTTTGTTCAGCTAGAGTGGGAGGGAGAGAGAGAAACATCGACGTGAAAGGGTCACATCGAGTGGTTGCCACCCACACGACCCAAGCAGGGCTGGGGACAAACTGCAACTGAGGTATGTGCCCTCAGCGGGAACCGAACCCGGGTCTCTCCGGACCGCAGGCCGATGCTCTAACCGCTGAGCCAAACCGGCCAGGGCTCCATTGATTTTTAGATAGAGTAAAAGGGAGCGAGGGGGAGAGAAAGAGAAACATCAATGTGAGAGAAATACATTGACTGGTTGCCTCTCCCACATGACCTCGACTGGGGCTGGGGATCAAACCTGCAACCTAGGTACGTGCCCTTGACCGGGAATTGAACCTGTTACCCTTTGGTCTGCAAGCTGATGCTCTAACCGCTGAGCCAAACTGGCCAGGGCTAGTATTATAACTTTTTATTGACCCATATACATGCTTCTTTGGACTCTTTTCCCCAGTTCTAATGTCTGTTTCAGAGGGTAGGCTCAACTTTCTTTCTTTTTATAGTTTCTTTTTCTAATTCTTGAATTTCCTGATTTGCAGTTATTGTTTTTGAAAGGTTTACATTTGTTTGTTTTTTTCCAGACAGCCACAGCATAGAATCTCTTTTTTCTGTATTTAAACCTAGGGAGCCCATGATTATTTATTCCTGAGTGCAAATCTGTTTTCTTCACTCTTTAATTTTGTTACAATTAACTATTCCTTTGGGTTGGGGGAACATTAAAAAGAAACATAAAAGTCCAAGATTTTTACTCCTGGAAGACATAGAATTCTGTTGTATATATACTAGAAAATTATTTTGCTATGCTAATTTCTGTTTAACTCTATTGGGAAAAGTGTTCTACCCCTATATTGGTTTACTAGGGCTGCTGAAACAAAGTACCACACATTGGGTGTGTTTAAACAACAGAAATTTATTGTCTCACACTTTTGGAGGCTATAAATCCAACCCTGTTGGTAGGGTTGGTTCCTTCTGAAGGCTGTAAGGGAGAGGATATCCCATGCCTCTCTCCTAGCTTCTGGTGGCCTGCGGGCAATATTGGGCATTCCTTGATTTGTAGATGCATCACCCCAACCTCTGCCATCATGTTCACATATCATTCTCCCTGTGTGCATGTCTATGTCCACATTTCCCTTTTTTATAAGGACAACAGTCATTGGATTAAGGACCCACCCTACTCTAATATGACCTTGTTGTAACTGGGAGTTAAAACTTCAGCGTATGAACTTTAGAGGGAAATACTATTCAACCCGTAATGACTTCTAAACTTGCACTGTGTTAGATGCTGTCATCTTTAAGCTTCCCTTTTCTGTTCTTGTCCTACCAGTTTGGAATCAAGACCATGTTAGAGACAGAAGAAGGAATCCTGCTTCTGGTCAGAGCCATGGATCCTGCTGTTCCCAACATGATGATTGATGCAGCTAAGCTACTTTCTGCTCTTTGTATACTACCACAGCCAGAGGACATGTATGTGACTGGAATTATTTCTCTTCTTCATTCTCTTTTTTACTGTCTTCCTTGGTCTAGAGCACCGGTTCTCAACCTGTGGGTTGCGACTCTTTTGGGGGTTGAACGACCCTTTCACAGGGGTCGCCTAAGACCATTGGAAAACACATATTTCCGATGGTCTTAGGAACCGAGACACTGCTCCTCTATCCGTCTCCCGTCAGGTCCGCCCACATACAGATACACTCACACACAACATGAGGAACTGTATTAAAGGGTTGCAGCATTAGCAAAGTTGAGAACCACTGGTCTAGAGGAAAATTGAGTTGCTTGGGTGGTTACTTGGTCTTCAATACTAGGAAAGGCTGTTTCTTCTCAGACATGAACACCATGAATGTTGATATTTAAGAAAGATTGTTAGGTGATGGGAGCTATCCTGAGTTATCAGAGGTATAGCCAGATAGCTCCTAGATCACCATTAATGTCAGTATTGTCTAGAACAAAGGTTTCTTTTTCCATTAAAAAGAAAATTCAGAAGCAACACAATATTATTTTTAAAATGCTTTATTTTTAAAGAAGTATATAAAGTAAAATTTAACAGTCTCATGCCTTTGGCAAATCTTATTCTGCAGAGATAACTACTGTTGATGGCTTTGTACAGTTTCATAGATCATTTTCTAGCATAGAAAAATATATTGCATTTCCTAGATTCCAAGATACCTTATACTACTCCTAAAGATGGTATTCTAGAACTAAGGAAAGGTGGCTTATGCCAGTGAAACCAACCACAGGTATAGGAGAGATTTTTACATTTTGTGGAGGGGTTTAACAAAAGCTAAATCATACCATTAATTTTTTTAAGCTTATTTCTTTTAATTTAACAGTAGATCTTGGACATCCTTTTATGTCGACATTTAAAGATATCTTTAGTGGCTATTTAGCATTCTGTAGTATGTATATCCCATAATTTATTTAACAATTCTTCTATTACTAGACTTTTAAATGGACTTTTATTTTTTTTTAAGAAATGTATGTGACTCTTGCTTTAGGTGATAAGAATTTTTACTGTTACAAATGATGCCATAATGAACATCCTTGGACATATATTCTTTCACATATATTCATTTATGTTCGATGGACTTCTAGAAATAGGTCACATGTTAAGTGCATTCAAAATTGGTATTATTAAATGTCCCTCCAAAAGTTGTACCAATTTATACTCCATAAAACAGGGGTGTTAATTTGGTATTTATAGATAGGAGTCTAGGAATGGGTTTTAAGGCACATTTTTTCTGAAGAGATGATCCTTAGTTTTCCCAAGATTCTGGCATCTATTCTAGGTGATGAGAATAATGTGAGAAATTGGAACACTGATAATGTTCTGTTTCTTAACTGATCTGTGTCTCCGCATCATCTACCTGTTGTGCCTGTCTGTGTCAGAGCACCTGGGCAATTCTCTCCCTATCTTTTCTCCTGGGTAGGAATGAAAGGGTTCTGGAGGCAATGACAGAAAGAGCTGAGATGGATGAGGTGGAACGTTTCCAACCACTGCTGGATGGATTAAAAAGTGGGACCTCCATTGCACTCAAGGCATGTATATCCCCTGAAACTGGGCCCAAGAGTAGAATTCAACATGGAAGGACTTAAGTTCATTTGATCTTTTAATAGAGTATGTGGAATGGTTCCCCAACTATATATATTATATTTCAGAATTTATTAGGAAGGGAACATGATTATCCTTATCTCCAAGCATACAGAGAAAGAACTGTTCCTCATTATGAGATGGGAAAAAGGCATGGTATCTATTTACAAATTAGGAAAACCAATGCCTAGAGCAAAGTATACCATCAAATTCTTGGCATTGTTTAGACCTCTCAGCTCTCCAGACCTGTGCTCAAACCAGGTCTTATTGCTTCATCAGAAAGTCATTCTTGTAGTCTTGTTCTGTATTTTCTAGGTTGTATTTGGGGTCCTCAGAATGCATGTAAAGAGAATAAAATTTTGATACCTAGGAGTTAACACTGACATAGCTGCTGAATTTTAAAATTTTAGGTGGGATGTCTACAGCTGATCAATGCTCTCATCACACCAGCTGAAGAACTTGACTTCCGAGTTCATATCCGAAGTGAACTGATGCGCTTGGGGCTGCATCAAGTGTTGCAGGTGAGGTGCAGCCCTTCATCAGAAAGTCTGAGCTGAATCCTTCCTGCTCTAATGGCCCTGCCATCCCAGGGATAACTTGGGTTTTCGATTTAAAAACCAGGTTGAAAGGCTTGGGATTTTAGTTAGCCTAGGACACTTCTGGGTTCCCTAACTTCTATTTTTGTCATGGACAGGATCTTCGGAAAATTGAAAATGAAGATATGAGAGTGCAACTAGCTGTGTTTGATGAGCAAGGGGATGAAGATTCCTATGACCTGAAGGGACGGCTAGATGACATTCGAATGGAGATGGAATATCCTTTTACTGACTGGGTTCAAGACAGGAGACATTCAGTTGTAGATCCCTTCATGGAATGGTGTGGGGTGATGACATCAGTCTGCATGTCTTCTCAGTAGATAAGGCAGTTGCTGTTGGATTTATTTACCTCAACATGGACCAGGGAAGTTAGGAAAGGTGGTCTGAGGGTTGTTTAGCATGCAAGCAGCCCTCAGAATCAGTGTAGACGTCCTAGAACATGGTAGCTTAGCTTGCTAAGATGTACAGTTGGTTTTTAGAGAACATAGGGAATGGGGTTATAATTTTCTTTCTTATATATATTCCTGAGACTGACAGAGAGATTCATTTGGTTACCTATTGATATTTGCCACAAGTGACTTTGAGGCAGATATCTTTTAGTTTTTGTCTACTGATTGATCTTCAAGCCAAATGCTAGCAAACTATCTCTGTATAGTACGACTAACACACTGGTCCCTTTGCTAAAGGAAGTTTATTATTACTTTTTAAAAAAATATATGTTTTTATTGATTTTCTTTTCAGAGAGAGAGAAACATCAGTGTGAGAGAGAAACATCTGTCAGCTGCCTCCTGCACACCTCCTACTGGGGATTGAGCCTGCAACCTGGGCATGTGCCCTGACTGGGAATCGGACAGAGACCTCTCAGTCCATGGGATGACACTCAATCCACTGAGCCACACTGGCGGGGCAAAAGAAGTTTATAAAACTTAAAGTTTGGGGCACTCTTTAGAGGAAGAACAGCTGTTAGAGGAGAAGAGCTCCTTGCTACTTTTCCTGAGAGTTGGGCAAGCCACCTGTCATAGTATCTCAATATATGTTTTCCTTAGCTTCTTCCCCTTTCCCACTGACTTCAGTGAAGTCTTCCAGATTCTCTTAAACACAGTGAAGGATTCAAAGGCAGAGCCACACTTCCTGTCTATTCTGCAGCATCTACTCTTGGTCCGAAATGACTATGAGGCCAGGTAAGATGGTATACGTGTAGGATGTTTTGAATTTCAACCTAAGTAGAAAGAGCAAAATCCTTAAGTTCAAAGACTGTCTATAAAGGGAAAAAGAAAAGATAAGGATTAGGTTTCATTTTAAGTCATAGATATAAAGGGAGTTGTCAGTGGTCCCTTTAATCCAACTGAAAAGCATCTCTGTGGAAGAAGTCAGAGTGTATAAGGTGAAACGCCCTTCCTTTTTTGATAGGGTAGAGTGAAGATGATAGCAAAGGGAGGTAAATGTAAAGTTCTTTCAGGTTGCCTGAAAGTAGAGATTTAGCAATAGTACTGTCATTGACAGGGAAGGATCAAGCCTGAGATTTTAGATGGGAACGAATTGGCACTAGGAGGCAGGTGGCAGGAAGTTTTGGTTCTCTGAAGTAGATGGGGTAGCTGATTGGATGAGGGGGTTTTCTAGCATGGCAGCGATACTTCTGGTAATTTTGTGAAAAGGTCTTTTCCAGAACATTTATCCCCCAGTCCCTCTGTTGTCAAGGCAGTTACCTTTTCTTGATCCAAAATACTCAAAATTACATTGTGGTTTTCTTTTCATAACCTTGTTTTATTTCTTCCATAGACCGCAGTACTATAGGTTGATTGAAGAATGTATTTCTCAGATAGTTTTGCACAAGAATGGGGCTGATCCTGACTTCAAGTGCCGGCACCTCCAGATTGATATTGAGGGATTGATTGGTAAGCATATTCATCTATCTGGTTCCTTAAAATTTGGTTCTGCCTTTCATTTTGCATCTTTCAGTGAAAATTTCAGAGAAGATATCTTTACAGTCCCCATGTATTTCCATTTTGGCCTTTTCTTAGGTGTTAATCAACATCTGTTTTAAGAATATATAGGCCTTTAGTTTATTTCTACATAATTCTAAAAATTTAACTCCTTCTCACACCTTTTGAAGGGACTTCAGCTATAAGTTAGGACTCTTGCTGGTCTCAGAGATTCATAAGTAAGACATTCTTCATCTCATCCAGATTGGTGGCCTTAACAAGCACTCAGAAATTTTATGTTGAACTTAACTGAAAGTTCTATTTTTTTATTTAGTGCAGAATATTAAGAAGAGCAGTAAAAATAAATAAAAGGACAAAAGACTGCCCTGTGGTTATATTGAAGGGCTTAGGTAGTGAGAGGGGAAAACAAGAGAATTGGGAACTTTACTTTCTCATTCTTCTTCTTTTCAGATCAAATGATTGATAAAACAAAGGTAGAGAAATCTGAAGCCAAAGCTACAGAGCTGGAAAAAAAGGTGTGTGTAAGAAATAAAATTTAAAAATCGGGGTATATCTTTCTTTGTCCAAGGATTATGATAGTTCTAACATGTAAAACATACCTGAGATATTTTGAAAGCATTCAGCACACAATAGTAATTACTAGGGGAAACTTTCTGGTGTAGGTTACCCAGTGGGAAAAGTGATATGAATGTGATCATGAGGAGCTAGTTAGTGTGAGTTTGCACAGTTCTTGGACCCCTGGTCAGGACAGGAAAGACAGACGGCACTTGTGTAATACTGAAAGCACTCTCGGGTTTACTTGGCATCTTGGGCCTCTTATCCCTGGAACAATAGGAACTGTAATTGTCTGAATTCTCTTTTTCTCTTCAAGTGTCAAAGACTCTTTTTTGTGGTTAATAGGTTTTGATCCTAGAGACTATTGGGATTATACGCCTGGCTGTCCTGGTTAAATGTCTTTAAAATAATAAGTTGTTGGTTTTTTTTTAATCATAACTCCAAAAATAGATAAACTATGGAAATGATCCCTACTTCTCCTTCCCTCCTTTATCCATAATTTTCAGGTCAAAATTATGGTGTTCTTATTTCCCAGGCATTCCCTGGGTCAATGATTTCTATAGATAAAAAATTGACATAAAACAGTAAATTATGAGGAATAACACTGTGCGTCTTGCTGAGATAGCTTACTGGGAACCTGGTTCCTTTCTTCTTTAGCTGGACTTAGAGTTAACAGCCCGACATGAGCTACAGGTGGAAATGAAAAAAATGGAAAGTGACTTTGAGCAGAAGCTCCAGGATCTTCAGGGAGAAAAGGATGCATTGGGTTCTGAAAAGCAACAAATTGTCACAGAGAAACAGGACCTGGAAGCGGAGGTGTCTCAGCTCACAGGAGAGGTAAGGTTTGAGCAGGGAAGGCAGAGTAACCTGTCACTGCCATTAGCAGCCTCGGGATGTCATCTTACTCCCAGGGAGGGTTCATCTACTAATAGGCCATCTACTTATTTAATGCATATTTTAAAAATCTTTTACTTTGTTTTGTTTTGGGGTAAGTAATACATAAGATAGAAAATTTGAAAAATACAAAACAACGTAGAATAAAATAAGTCACAGTACTATCCAGAAATAAAGATAATACTCTTCTAATAAATTTAGGAGTAGAAACTAAATAAATTATTCTCATATTTGCTTATTTTCTCCTATTTGTCATCTCTGGAGAGATTTATCCTTACACACTCTCTCTACAGTTATAAATATTTGAATGAGCGGTGATATCTGATAACTTGATCACTTACATGGTTATATAATTACCTGTATAGCACATGTGTTAATTATGTAACTGGAATATTTGATTTACTTGATCTTTGCATTTTCTAGTCAAAGGAAGAGTTTAACATAAAGGTTGAAGTTACCTTTTCAATGCAAAGCTGAACTATGAACATGAAGAACAGAACTTGAATTTGACCTTGTCACTGAATAGCTATGTGACTTTAGGCGGATTGTTTCATGTCTGACTCCTTTCACACCCATCATGTATAAAATGAGAAGTTGGAATTAAGTAGTTTCTTAGATCTCTTCAAACCTCAATTGTCCCTGAGGTGGAGTGAGAAGTATACTCTCATTGATGTTGTTTTTCTAGGTTGCTAAGCTATCCAAGGAATTGGAAGATGCCAAGAAAGAAATGGCTTCTCTCTCTGCTGCAGTTACTGCTGCAGCCCCTCCCAGCAGTGCTGCTGTTCCCCCTGCCCCTCCTTTACCTGGTGACTCTGGCTCTGTTATTCCACCCCCACCCCCACCTCCTCTTCCTGGGGGTGGTACTATTATTCCTCCACCACCTCCCCCTCCTTTACCTGGGGGTGTTTGTATCCCCCCACCCCCTTCTTTACCTGGGGGTGCTGCCATTCCTCCACCCCCTCCTTTGCCTGGGGGTGCTGCCATCCCTCCACCCCCTCCTTTGCCTGGGGGTGCTGCCATCCCTCCACCCCCTCCTTTGCCTGGGGGTACTGCTATCCCTCCACCCCCTCCTTTACCTGGGGGTGCTGGCATTCCCCCACCTCCCCCTTTGCCTGGGGGTGCTGGCATACCCCCACCTCCTCCTCTACCTGGAGGATCTGGAATGCTGCCTCCCCCTCCCCCTCTTCCTGGTGGTTCTGGAATCCCCCCACCCCCTCCATTTCCTGGAGGCCCTGGCATTCCTCCACCTCCACCTGGAATGGGTATGCCCCCACCTCCCCCTTTTGGATTTGGAGTTCCTACAGCCCCAGTTCTGCCATATGGTTTGACCCCAAAGAAGCTTTATAAGCCAGAGGTGCAGCTCCGGAGGCCAAACTGGTCCAAGGTGAGAATTTCTGTCCATTTCTTTATCAGTACATCTTCAGAAACCACTTCACTTTCCTACTTTGTACTTTGTGCATGGTTGGGCTTCCTATTCTTGTGGCTCACATCTGTCTGTCTTTTAAGTGCATCGATGCATATGTGTAGTCAGTAGATATTAGGCATCGCCTATATGCTAGACATTACTTTGGAGAGTTCTTTGAGCCTAAACTCTGCTATAAAAACTAAATTTAAGTTAGTAGTTTTGGCCTTTGAGGATATGAGGATATCTATACACAGTTTGATAATAGTCATTTCACCAGTCTGCAAGGTGCTGATAGTTTTGCTGATCTAAAGTCATGGATTTATGGTACAGCCCTCCTACCTCTACCCTCCAGTAAATGAGTTTCACAGGGAATGTTTGCATGGCACAGTATTGTTCCCACTGTGTTTGAGACCCCTGTGATTCTGCATCAGCCTTTTGCTTCCAGAAACCAAGTTAAAATAGAGTTTAGGGATTATAAAATGAACAAATTTGGCACAGTTAGTCAAACTGATGGGAAAATATGTAATGTAAACAAAGTCTTAGTGCTTCTATAACTAGTAGATTTAAGGTTAGAAGGAGGATAGGTAGCATAATTTGAATAATCATTAACAAACACACTAGAAACATCATCTCCTGATTTTATCATGAAGAGCACAGATGTCTGTCGCAGGTCAATCTGATTGTGGTGGATGTCAGTGCTAATAACTCTTGCCACTTACGTAATTGGTTTTCTGGGATGGAAAGTACAGAGCTCAGCTTAGTAATTTTTAACACCTTGCCTGTATCCATAGTTTGTTGCTGAGGACCTTTCCCAGGACTGCTTCTGGACAAAGGTGAAGGAGGACCGCTTTGAGAACAATGAACTTTTCGCCAAACTTACCCATGCCTTCTCTGCCCAGACCAAGAGTGAGTCCCTTCCTCTTTCATGCAGAGGGCCAGCATAGGACTTAGAACATCCTTTAAGTGGGTTTCCCGTTTCTTTCCCTTCCCTGGGTGAGGGTTGAAGAGAGATAGGATTTCAATTTGGAAGAAAATAAGATGTTTCTATATTCTGGGGATGCTGGATTTGGGAAAGAACTGTTGCATATAGGTGGGTAGTTCCCCCCTGGTTTTTTTGCATGTAGGTATTTTATATCATTGTAACTTGTAGGTTTATGAGAGTAAGGTGACAGCCCAGTCTGGGCCCATTTTGATGATGTTCTTGAACCAATTCTGGCACTGCCTTTAAGGTGCTATCTTCAGACCTACATACATAATTGATAAGGATTGGCAGAGTCTTTATAGGTCAGGTGTTTGAGCGAATACAATAACAACAAACCATATGTGATTCCTTTTCTTTCTTCCATTTTTTCCCAATATCCGATGCTTTCTCCTTCCTGGCCCTTTGCTCCTGCAGCATCAAAAGGTAAGAATATAGACTATAGTAGGGTCTTTTGAATATTAGAGGGGGGAAAAATGAAACAGATATGAAGGAACTTCTCTGTAGAAAACTGAGACTAGAGATCAGGGGTTGATTTCTCTTTTGCTATTTTTTTTTTTTTTAAAGAGTACAGGAAGACCAGTAGCTGTGATGTTAACTGACAGGGGAGAAAATTAAGCTACCAGATATTTATTCTTTCTTTGGAAGATGAGGGACAAATTAAGTAATAATACCATTATCTTACATTTGTGTTGTCTTTTACATTTTGCTTTAATATAACTTTACCCTATTTGACCTGCAAAGAAGCCTTATGAAACAGGCAGGATGTGTATTCTCTCCACTCTGTAGAAATACGAATTGAATAGTTAGGTAGCTTGCCCAAACCAGATCCAGGAATCTTAACTTTTGGTCTTTTTTTTTTTTTAAATACATATATATAAAAATAAATTCTTGCTTTTCTTCTTCACCTTCATATCTTCACCTTTATTTTAGAATTGCTGATCTTTTTTGCCCTCTTCTTTCTTCAATTCCTAGTTCTTGTGGGTTTTGTGCTCCGTTAATATGCCTTGTGATATTTCCATCTTTTTCCAGCTTTTTTGTTTATTATGACCCTTGTAAGTGATGAAATGCTCTAACTTTGGAGCATTTTTCCCCCGCCCCCTGCCCAGTAAATTAGCATTTTTAAAGACAATTATTGTTATTTTTTTAAGTGATATAATGGCACCAGACTACACTTTGTTCTAATTAGGAACTGGAGAGATTGCTAGGTGCCCTTGGTGCCCTTAGTTACTGTGGGTGTCTAGGAGTATAAGATCACAGTGCTCAGGCCTGTCTTGTTGCCCTAGATTTCAGGGCAAAGCGGCCTTTTCTTCTAAGAGATCTGTCACCTTCCACACTAAAATCCAGCTCAGGGAATTACTTCCACCCTCTTAGTTAAAAATGCTGTGATAATGATCACTTACACTACTATAGTATGTCAACAAAGACTAGTTGACAGGGAAAATAAAAATCAAATGGTTTGCTAATTTGTAAGTTCACAGAATCTATCTGTGTTGGCCTCTGGCCTAAGTCCCTTTCTTGTGGCTGGGCTCTTAGTGCCACTGCAAATGTACGCTGCCTGGGACTTTTCCTCCTCATCCTTCTTGTATCCTGTACATTTGTGTTCCTATGGTTGTAGAGGGGTTTCCCACAGGTTAACTAGTCTTTGTTCTAACTAGTCTTTGTTTTATTCTAATCTTGAAATATCTTTACTTTTGGTTAGGACTTTTCAGCTGTTAAGTTGGCATGCTGACCTTATTTCCCCATCTTTTCATTATGAAGCACTAGAGAAGGTGTTCTTGAAAAATTATTAAATCATGAGCAATTTTCCAGACATTCTTAATCTTAGTCATCTTAAGAAATTCCTAAAAGAGATTGTTTTCTTGTCAATTATAGTTATAAGTAATTAACTGTTTACCCAACTCTACCAGTTATCTGTAATACTCAGCTGCAACACAGCCTTCCTGCTCTCATTATCCATGCCACATCTATGTTTTCAATCATTTCCCCCCAAGGAACAAACACTTCTTTCTTTAAAAAATTATTTCTTGGGATTTTCAGCATTTCACTGACTTCAGTGTTGTCTGATGTATCTTTTTCTTCTACAAATTCTTGCTTTCTTTCTCTTTGAGTTACTCTGTAAATCTATGGTGACACAAGCAGTATTTAAAGGGACTTGTTGTAAAGTGTGTTTCTTGGGGACAAAATAGTTGCTTTGATATTATATGCATGAGCATCAAGTGTCAGATAGAAGTGCTGCATGTGGACCCGATGCCGTGTATCACACCCACTGTGACTGGCATAACTATCTTACCCCGTCTTTCCTGATGCACTTTTGAGCCTCGCTCCCTCAGTGCACAGGCGAGAATACTCAATACAGACTGTGCCCAAGTGGCCCCTTCGTCACAACATGCCCACAAAAGAACACTTGAGTAAAGAAGACTTTTGGCTTTTTAGAGTTCAGGTTTTTATCAGGTGAGGAATTTCAAGTTCTAGAAACTTCAGAGGTAAGGACTCAGAGGACCCAGATCTCGTCAGGATGAAAGCAAGGTTTACTTTGCTTCTGGTGCTTCAAACCATGTCTGTTATAACATTTCAGAACATTTCTCCTTAATTTTTTTTCAAGTTGGTAATCAGTTTCAGTTTCCAAGTCTCTCACTCATAGTCTTAATATTGATGATATAATTAAATGATAAATACTCATTACTACTCTATAAATATTCTATCTTCAGATGAAGAAGTAGAGACATGGGTTAAAACTATTCAAGGCCATATAGCATGTGCCAGAGCCAGGGTTCATGCTCCAGACTGTGTGACTCCAAAGTCCTTACTGTAGCCTCCTGCTCCCAAAAGTGTCCATCTCTGCCCTGAGAGCTTCTGAAGGCGTAGACCCAGACGAAATCTGGAAGAAGGGATGCACTGGCTTCCATAACCACTTCATTCATTTAGGCACAAATGTCTTTGAATTGACAGTGACTCTTAGGAGTACAGAAAGGAACAACATTAGATTAGGGAAAATGAGATACTGGATATTTAGGGTTGAAGAGAAGGCGGCATGTTCTGATTACAGTATATTCAACTGTAGCAAAACTAATCCAGTTGGAGAAGTAAGACATGCTCATTTAGTTCTAGTAGAAGTCCTGCTTAGATGATTTCAGCACAGTAGTTGCCTGTCTTGATGAGGAAGTTATTTGCACACTAGGTTTTCATAATATTGCATTATTTCCTTTCTGGCTTGCTAAACACTACTCTGCTATTTGTAAAACATGACTTTATCTCCCTCATATATTTTTTCTGCCTCAAAGCTCCCATATACCTGCTGGCTTCTCCAGGAATGGGCATTAAAAGAAAACATCTGCCTCTCTCTTTACATCTGCCTCCATAGTTAAAAGTCTTCAGCCACTGTTTCATTAAGGTTCAAGAAGGCATGTACCTTTTTTCTTCTTTTTTTAATATGTTTTTATTGATATTTAGAGAGAAAGGAAGGGAGAGAGAGATAGAAACTTCAATGTGAGAGAGAAACATATGATCAGCTGCCTCCTGCCCGCCCCCTACTGGGGATCGAACCTGCAACCCAGGCATATGCCCTGACCAGGTTTCGAACTGGGACCTCTCAGTCCATGGGACAACACTCAATCCATTGAGCCACACCAGTCGGGTATGCATATACCTTTTTCTAAGAGAAGAGCTAAGAGAGAGGAATGGTCCTCAAATTTATACTACAAGTTCTCATACACATTTTTCTCTCTCAGGGGTTACTCTCTTATTTCTGAACTATAAATCAGAAATTTACTTAGTTGATTTGTTACCAAGAAACTATTTTGAGTTCAGATTTGATAGGCAGTGCTATAAAACATCTAGTACTTTCTCATTTTCCTTATGGTGATCAAGAAGGAGTCTTTTTTTTTTATCCTCACCCGAGGACATTTTTCCATTTATTGTACAGACAGAGTGGGAGGGAGAGAGAAGAAGAGAGAGAGAGGGAAACATCAATGTGAAAGGGACACATCGAGTGGCTGCTACCCGCACGACCAACCAGGGCCGGGGACAAACTGCAACCGAGGCACATGCCCTTAGCGGGAACCGAACCCGGGTCTCTCTGGACCGCAGGTGGACGCTCCAACCGCTGAGCCAAACCGGCCAGGGCAGGAAGGAGTCTTTTATCATGGTCTCTGTTGACTGTTTCTTTAATTCCTTGTGAATATGCTCAGTAGTTTTGTTTTTTTTTTTAATCCTTTCTTAGGAAGCGGTTTTTATCACTGTGGTGGCCTCAGCTCATTATCTACAGTATGTACAAGATAACTAGTTTTTCATTGTTTCCTTTCTTTTGGTGATGACATGATTCCATTAAAACTGTTATGTTTTAAAATAGTGTGGTAAGTGATAACTGGTGTTCTTTTTAGGTTTATTCCTTTCTTTCAAAAACCTTTTGGATTCTTAAGATCCATAAGCCCCTTACTAGGTGTTCAGTGTAGCATTAGAGATGATCTCTCTCTGTTAAAATAGGAGGTGCATTATGGGAGCAGCATCAGAACAGTTCTCCAAAGTGGTTAATAACAGTGATTTAGAAAGAACTCTGGCTAAAAAGTAAGATCTTGACCAAGAGCTGAGAATTTCATAAACAATAACCGTGTTCTAGTTAGGGTTTGACTGTGTGGGCCCAGATCCCAAGATTTGTGCTGTTGTCTCACAAGTCAGAACTGTTGGCAGCTATGGCTAGGTTTACCTATCTGCTGCTCTCCTGGAACTTTCATGGTTCAGGCTTTAACAGGAACCTGTGGTGGGGAAGCAAGGTCCTCTTTCCCAAATGGGATCCAAGGGTCTTTTTCCTTTTCCCTGTGCTCCTCTTCTGTTCACTACGTGGCACCCACCCAGTTGAATCTTTATTAGGAAATGTCTGAGTGAATCTTTATAGTCTGCAACTTGAACCTCTAGAAACAAGATTTTGTAGGCGCTCAGCAGGCTCCACCTTACTCCGTAAGTCTTTTGGCAGAAAGATGTCTGTTCTGTCAGTTCCTTACGCCTCTCAAATGTGTGGGATTAGGATAAGCGGTGCTATTCAAGTGAACATTTGTTGGTGTTCTTGTCTTTTATTTACTAACAACTTCTCTTGGGTTTTGAATAGAGTCAGACTGTAAGCACAGAGAAGTCAGGAGGTTCTGTAATATCAGATAGTACTTCTTGTAATTTAAAAACATAAATCTACCCTATCACTTGGGATTATGAGGAGTCCTGCACAGGTAATAAGTGCCACACTTCCTATGGTCATGATCTCCCCATCCTGAGTGGTATGAAAAAAGAACCTAAACAACCCCTCATATACCCCTATATGCTCTCAACTTTGCCATTACTATTTGCCTTGAATCCACTGGATCTAATAATATGCTATTTATCTTGGTTTATGTCACTCACCACAGGAAACCCCAGACCCACAGATCATCTTCATC